TATTCAAACTTTGGGTACTACTTTGCTTGCAAGAGCTCTCAAGATGACTTTGGCTCTAAAGACATGTATCAATGCCTGGTGTATTGCGACAATAACTATCAGCCTGAACTCACTGAACATGCTATCCAACTGTTGTATTTCGTTCGGGTTTCTGTTTGCAACTACTTGATAAGCAAGGGATTCAAGGAACCTTGGCAAATTCTTCTGGCTCAGCTCCATCCTATCGCATTCTTTGGAGTTGACTTGTTTGAGCGTCTTTTTACAATCCTTGTAAAAGAACCTGGACTTGCCCCAACTGCTATTACAAACCCATTTCCTTTTATTGCCATTGATGAAATCCAGGCTCTTGCAGAAGGTCTTTGTTTACATTGCCTGCCAGGGAGTAAAACCCCACGTCCTTTCTTCTCTCCATTGGTATACCATTCCAAAATGATGGGAGTATTTCCTCATTGCCTACTGTCTGCCACCAGTATTGACTTTGAACTCATCAAAGAGCTAGTGGAGTCCAGTGCTATGAAGGATGATCAAATCACAGATTGTGTAGTTGTATCAGATTTCCATCCTCTGACAAAGCTCGAGGTCGAACAGTATGTTAGACAATTTTTACAAGACCATCAAGTCGATCAACTGGATGCTATTGTATCAAGAATTTCAGACTTTGAATTATGTCATGGAAGACCATGTTTCATATCGTATATTCTGGGCACATATATGAAATCAAATGATATTGACGCTGCGATTAGCAAATTTATCACTGGGATATCTAATGTTGATGGCCAGATTTTCCCGCTTAGATTCTTGAAAAATGACCTTGATAAAAACATTCGTTCATTTGACAAAGTCATTGCTGGTGATAACCTGTCAGGACCCATTTGCGACGCATTTATTGATGCCATCTGGAAGGGGAAAATGCAACTTAATGTAACTGGAAATGACGCTGCTACTGCAATACGTTACGGTTTGGGATTTGGTCAGACTGTCGATGGAACTATATCTTTCATTGAAATTCAAGAGTTGGCCGTAATCGAGTGTCTTCGCTACTTTTTGCCCTTTGCACACACTGTCAAAAGTTTATACCAAAGAATTGGCTCGTATCCTAACCCTAACCCTCAAATGGTTGGCTATTTGGTGGAATACTTGGTTGCGTTTGCTTTAGTAGCCAACTATTCTGGTTCTGATGCTGCCAATAGTATCAAGGCATCCCGAGATTCTGCATCCATATATTTACTATTTGGTGATTTAGATCAAGTATGCTTTCCCGATCATATGTGTGGACCAGATATCATCTACAAGTGTGCCAATACAAAGACTGTATACATTGTCCAAGTCAAATTTGTCAAGAAAATGTCAAAACAAGAAGCTGCAAACGCTTACAATACTACAGATCCTGAACGCTTTTATTGCAAACGTAATGGCGGTGGAGTGTCGGAAGGGTTTGAAGAAGAACGAGCTTACCTTCTTAGCACTTTGTCGGAACTACGCAAATCAGGCTACTCATTGCAACAGACTCTGGTTATTCATACTGCTGAAAAGAACCCTGTTGACGCTCAAGGTATGGAAATCATCAATAGTTAAAACTCGCCTCAGTTTTTTGACAAAATTGGCAACGGTGTTTGGGATTTTTTAAATTCAGTTGGAAATAACCTTCAATAAAGTTTCAAAATGAAATTGATATACAGATTGGATTTTCAAAATCAAAAATAACTTTGATTAGTCATATGCAACCAACACCAAACACGGAACCTTGAATATGAGCTCAATGATCAATTTTATCATCATGATTCGTAATTGCAAATAGAACTTGTTCCAAAACATATGAATCCAGTCGTCATTATAAATATTCTTGCATTGCATTGCATACACAACTCCATTTGTGTATATTGATGGGTTTGCACAAAACTGAATTAATGCTAAACTTGGAAATACTGACGATAGCAAGACAGATGCATGAATGCATTCACTCCATTCAACAACAGACATAGTTGCCAAGATCCAAACATGTTCCGCAACAAGTGATTTGTATTTTTACAGGCAAAAGTAGATGCTACCAGTGTAACATCTGTCAATTCTGATATGTTCAAAGTAATAACCAGCCAATAGTCTGGATTAAACGACAACACATGATGACCGATCGTCATTCCAAACACCAGGACAATGGAAAGGGTTCAACATGTAGAGTCAATCATTCCACCACAATCAGAATTGTAAGTGATTGAATATTGACACTCTTGAACCACAAAATAATCAAACACACGATCGCATATCTTGTCAATGTTGCAATGCATTGCATCAAAACTAATACTGACTCCAATATGTCTCCCGTTGTTGATTACAATGTGTTTGTGGCAATATAACCATCCAAACACTTTTATATTTACATTTTGCTGTTGATAGATTTGCAACAACAAGATTGTCAAAAACCAAGTTTTTAGTCATGCAAGGACCAGTCTCAGTGTTTACAGCAACAAAAACATTCAATCTTGGAGCCAACCAACAACAATCATTTTTCAAGTCATGGATATATTTTGCAATAAACTTTGAATATTTGCCAATTCCAACTTTAACAGGGTTTAACAAGGTAGACACTTATTGGCTTTGTTTGTATGAAAATATGTTGCTTGAAACAAATACAAATCTTGCCGCTCTTTTTTTAAACTGGATTGCTGCATATCATATCGTTCAATATCTGTTTTTTAGTTTGTGTGCAATGACGAGGTGTGTTGCTAATGCTCCTGATTGTGTTGGAAAGAACAGTATGGATTTTCATCACTTTTATTTGGAAACATTAAAAACAAGCATATTATAACCATATTCAATGGCAAAAACGGGAGTGATTGGGTAATTCACAAGCATGCACATAAAGCCGTATGATAAGACTGTGATATCAATGAATCCAATGGTCAAATGTCTGCTCAATAGACATTTTTACATTATACATGAAAAATTCGATAACGTTGCAAGTAGCATCTCTTTTTGAAATACAAACTTGATGAAAAGCGTTCAAAATGATTGAATTCAAAGAGTGAACGGCAATGCAACAATCAAGAGCAAAATCAGTCAATTACAGTTCAACACTCAATGTTCAACTCGATTCAAGAAACAAATACAAACAAATCAGGAGTCTGATGAATAAAACAGTTTTTGAAGAGTATTTCTGCTATTGAAAATCGGATAGTATATGCTATCAAAAATACATGTATTTTAGACGAGATCAAACAGGTGTTACGAAACTACGTTGCTTCAACTTGGAAACACCAGTTATTGCATTTGATGATGTTTTGTCAGCTGAAACTTTAAAATAAGTTGCTTGACCTGTTTTCCAACACTATTGTGAAAAGATTGATAAATGGAATATGTTGTATGAAATGAATTGATATGTTTCAAGAAAACAGTGTCAGAATCACTTGTTTTACACAAGTTTGGATAAAATCAACTGTGGATGTTGACAAAAATGGCTTGGTAATGATTTGATTGAAAGAATGAGTGGCGGAATTATAGCGTACAAATGATACAACTTTTATAGATGTCTGTTAAGTAATATTGTGAATATACATGAACTTGTGAATGAATAGCGCAAAATACTAACCATTGTTGTTTTAATGTCAAAATTTGATTACATTGACAAACACACCGTTATTATACATTGTATGATAATGCAATAATACCATATTTGTCATTATTTTGACTGTACAAGACACGATTGAAATCAACTAAAGTATCCAGTTGAATCTAGCCAGGACATTATATTTGCACAATTAGCTTGATTTGCTAATCATGTGATATATTTATAATCCTTCATCCAGACACAAAGGTTACAAACTATACTAAAACAAGGGGAATATCACACAATCAAACATGGACACACTACATTAAATATACGTATAATATCAGTTTGTCACTAATGAATTGTATTCAGTCGAGTTTATTGAGAGTTTGTTTGTGACTCTTGACAGTGTGGCGAGTGTTTTCAGGCACAGCTACTTGATTAGTTGTAGTTGTTGGTTTCCTTTTGCGAATAAATGCACCATCTGAGCCTGAAGTACTTGGTTGTTCAGGCAATCTAACACTATGCATCAAATTCATAATCAGTATCAATTGACACATCAATATCAATATCAAACAACTTACTGTGTTAATGGCCAAAGCACTCGATAACCGTTTGAAATAGTAGGATATTTGCTAGTCGCAGTTTCGCATCCACATCCAGGACCAAACCCAATGCGTTTATTTTGTCGATCAAATGTGACTGCAAGTTGGCTCATAAATGACATGCCAAGAGTTGCTTTGTCATTTGAACCAGATTTTACAGTAAATCTAACTATAATCCAACATGTATATTAGTCAGGTTAATCAAACAACACATATTGCATACAATTGTCAAATATTTACATTTTTCAGAATCATATTTCCACATATAGTCTTTGGGACCCAGTTTGATCGTTACAACGGAGTTGCTATTGTCATAAGTTACGGGGGTTTGAGCATACATTACAACTGAAATCGTTGGCATCCTGTCCCAATTGATATTGTAGTTGGATTTGAACATTAGAGAATTTGCTTGTAGCTTTTTTTTAACCTTTTCTTTGCCGAGTTTGCGCCTAAGCATACTGCCTTTGACAGTGATCGCATTGCTATCAAGAATAGCATTGATCAACGTAGTCACGACTTTTTCAGGCAAAACTATGCATAAAAAGCATGTTTGTAGATACGAGTACAAAGTACGTCCATCTTTTCCTTGTTTTTTTTGGAATTCAGCAGGCAGCTCCACTTGTTTTCCATTGACTAGTATACTCTTGATGTTGACAGTAAATTCATCGTTTGTTGGTGAGTCTACCCATGCAACACTTTTTCCATCCGTTCCGCATTTTGGAGTTATGTCCGTATTTCCTATATTGATGAAACTTTCATGCAACATGTCATACTGACACAATTGAAGACTAACCTCGTTTTTAGGAATGGCACCATCATTGTACAAAGCATCCATCGCAGTGATTCGTGAGTGATGATTTGACAACAAGGTATAGCCAAATCCAAATACTCCTTGCTTGAGTGTTCCACCAATACCAACTAGATCTGGCGATTGTCTTTCAACTGCAACTACTGGTAAATTGATGTCAGTTATACTAGTACCTGGAATCGTCACAGCGGCTGTAGATGTAACTCCATTATACTCATCGCCTTTGTACTTTATACTAACGGGTTCCCCACTTGAAATACTTTGTATAGCCAAACCTACATCGTTGCTTGAGCTAGGAAGTGGTACCACTATATCAAAAACTGATGATTCGACTTGTAAATTCAACTATTTTAAACAAGTGTGAGATTGATTCAACGTGGTGCAAATTGATATCAAACTACAATAAATGACATGATACATACATCAACTCCATCAACATTAAATCTCATTGTGAAACATTGGTCAATGCCACCACCTAATTCAACGGGTGATCGTTTTGATAGCCTATTGTTTGATTGACTGGTAATTTCAAAAGGTGAATGTAGTGGAATTCGAACTGCAGCAACCGCCTGTAACGCAAGTAGAACGCATTCTAGAGTGATCAGCATTGTATCGAGTAGTGTGATGAAAGTGTCGTGAATCTGGTAGATGACTGCTGTTTTATAATGACGGCAGTTTCAAGGGTGACAATCGACACTTTCCAAATGGGTATTTAGAAAACGCCAAATACACCATGTAGGGTCAACAAACCCAGAAACACCCTGTAGGGTGAATCAATATATAAGCATTGCTGTTAGTGTATAATAAACCTGAGTATTATGCTGTGTTGATATTCCCAATTGCGGTGATGTATCCAGTGGTCAGGTAATGTCAGATTATCACCCTGATTATGGATAGTTATCATCACATTTACAATACATTATCACAGCATACACTGCCACTGTGTATCAAATATTTGACTGATTGTCCAATTGGTCGTGTATTTGATATACTCGGACACAACAGCATCAAACAGCATGTTGTTGCAGTATTTCAAAACCATGACTTTTCCATTGGTATGACTGCACAGTCATTTTAGGTCAATGTAGACTGTATACATCAAACACTGCTGATTGTGTCACAACATGATCAACATCAAACTCGGCAATCTGTCGCTGCTACACCGAATGAGTGACGTTGTACTATAATTGAATTGGAGATTGGCAGGTCGTTCAACAAACTGGCCGTGTCAACAGGTCAGATTGTCATCGTATACATGAACCACAATGGATGATCATGTCATTCAAATCAGCACACAATCTACTGGTATATGCAAAACAACACCACCAATACAAATCAAATCAACCCAATCACAAACGTGGTGTTGAATCAAATGCATGCGAGTACTTTTTAAACACATGATACACACTGATGGTGATGGTTGCTGACAGTCATATTGCAGTGTACATGTCCAATAGTGTACACTGTCATGTCGATTGTTGCTATCCGTGACATTCAACTGTACTTGTATTCACCAAATGTGCACAACATCTAGAGTTGGTTGCTAGATGCTCTCATGTTTGGCATACAACTAGTCACCATCAGACCAAGCGTATACGCTAGTACAGCGCCATGAATCTATTGGCAAGTGGTTTCAATTTTATTCTGGCGTGTTGAGGGTTGGATGTGTACTAG